TGCGAGCTTATAAAGCAATAAATAGACTTGTCTGAATACTTCGAAAGTAATCTACCTATTTATGAGATTATTGATTAGTCCTTTTTGAGTTAGCATTTTGATGACTAAGAATTGATTAAAGGTATAAATTTGGAGAATCCTAAAGATGTTCATGAAAAATACGATGAATTATTTGCTAGAGATTTGCCAAAAGAATACGAAGAAAATGATTAAGTACTATCAATTGAATATCATTTGATCAACTTGCCAGTAACATTGAGATCTAACCCAAAAGACCTAATGAAAGTATTAAGTCAAACAGACAAACCAGATTACTTTGAAAACTAGGTCATCCAAAGCATTATCAAGTTTAAATGGAATGAATATACAAAGTCTTTTTACAAGAACAGATTCTATACTTACCTTATCTTTATGGCCTCTTTTATTTTCGATATCTTTTATTCAGCCTATGCTTCTGCCTCATAAACTGATACGAATTCATAAGATAAGAAGGAAGTAGATCATCAAACTCAAATTTGGCTTAAAATATTAACAAAAGTAATCTGCAGTATTGTACTTTTCTACTTCTTGACATATGAGATAAATTAAATTAGAGTTCAGAAAAGAGATTACTTAAAAGATGGGTGGAATTATTTTGACTTTTCTCACATTATTGCTTTTGTGGTATACTGCATTCTAGACTTTACTAATGAAAACCAAGAAAACCTAATCTTGATTAAAATAGTCGTAATAGTTTTATCCTTTATGAAGCTTTTCTTCTTTTTGAGAATTTACGATGGCTTCAGTTTTTTAGTTTAAATGATGGCTGGTGTCTTTAAGGACCTTCAATACTTCTTGATATTCTTCATCATTTTCATCTTGCAGTTTGGTATGATCTTCTTAGTCTTATTCAAGGCCTAATAGATCGATGAATACAATGGAGTGAACAAATTAGCATATTTCTTGATGGCCTTTAGAATTTCATCAGGTGACTTTCAGCTAGATGACTATCATAGTTAAGAAGATGGATTAGTAATATTTACCTGGATCATCTGGTTAATTGCAGTTATGACTTTGAATATCATCTTCATGAACTTCATTATTGCTGTGATATCAGAATCCTATGAAAGAGTGATGTAGAAACTAGTAGCTGAATCTTACAAAGTCAAAGCTAATATGATTGTTGAGAGAGAGTAGCTATTCAATGAAAGTGACATGATAAGCAAAGATTATTTCCCTAACTTTATTGTTGTACGTAGACCATTAAATACAGAGACTAATGAAGGTGGCGAATGGTAAGGATTTATTAAAGATCTCAAATACACCATAAGAACATCGGCTGTCAAGTCTAAGATTGAAATTATTTAAAATCTACACTCTCTTAACTCCGTTCAAAGCTAAATTTAAACCTAGAATCAAGAAAATAGCTAAAAACTGAGTAAAATTGATGTTGCATTAGAAAAAAGATCTACCAACATTTAATCTAATGAAAGTATGGATGGAAAAATTTCAATGTTGAATTAGAAGCTTGATCAAGTAAAGGAGAATAGCCAAAGAGAATTTTAGCATTTAAAAACAGAAGTTTAAGGACTTGATGCTAAAATTGAGGGTCTTGATTCAAATGTCCTTAAAATTCAAGATGATATGGAATTCATTAAGAACTCCTTAACTTAGATTCTTAAAAATTATAAACAGTGATCAGCATTTGAAGATTTAAATCAGGAATAATGACTCAATTTCTATTTAAAAATGCATGAGATTGCGATGCATTTAGAATTTTAGAGAATTTATATTGATTATTTTCAAAGGAAAAGTTTGATTCATTGATTAAATTGATTTTATTTTAAAAACATTTCTGCTTAATCAATAAATTACCTCAAATTAAAAGCTGTGGGGTTTTGGGGTTTTGGGG